AATAAAAAAAAAAGTTTTTATTTAAAAAAAGAAAAAAGAAAAAAAGAGCCTGAATAGGTAAAGACTCCCAGACAACTGGAAGCTAGAGGCTGAGGTTTGCTTGCACAGCGGTGCATGTGTACGTGCTTGTGTGCAAAGAAGAAATTTAATTTTAACCTGCTTTGTGGAAAAAAAAAACTTTACCTGTTTAATCCAAAAAATGAGAAGGCTATAGCAAAGGGGAATATAAAGCCTTAATCCTATATAATAAAAGGGTAATATGCAAACTGACCCTAAAGGCAGAACGTCTGGGAACGACCAGCCACTATGACGTGCATTGACCACCAAGGGGCAGACGCTCAACACAGGAGCTGCCCCCTGGTGGTCAGTGTGCTCCCACAGGGGGAGCTCTGCTCAGCCACAAGCTGGGCAGTGCTAAGGATGTCCGACTGCAGGGAGTGGGCCTAAGCTGTTAGTCGGACATACCCCAAGGGTACCCAAGCTGCCAGAGGGATGTCTGACTGCCAGCTTAGGCCTGATCCCCCAGGGACTCCCCCCTCCTCCCACAAGTACATGGATTTTTGTGCACTGGGCCTCTAGTATTCTTATAATATCAAAAATATAAGTCTTTGTTTTACTATGGTTGCAAATATCAAAAAATTTCTATATGTGACCCGGCACCAGAGTTAAGTTAGGGTTTTTCAAAATGCCGACATGCCGAGCTCAAAAGGTTTGCCATCACTGCACTAGAGCAAAGTGAGCCTGGAGCAAGTTAATTTTGTGGGTGGGAAATGGGTACCCTTTAAAAATTCTTGAATTCCTGAGAGTGGACACTTTTTCCTGGATAGAAATACCTTAGTTTTATTTACATTGTATGTAGGAACAATACCTTGGATTTTGTTGATAACTGACTATTCAATGACAGGTGCATTAAGTAACATATATTTTAACATCAAGAGTATGGTTACTGCGTTTAGGATTTTGAATGGAAAAATCTTGGTTTTGACATTGTTTGCTTCTCTAGAAATCTCCTATGCCTGAAAATATAGTGATTAAGGAGGAGTTTTTGGAAAAACAAAATGGTGGGCAGATGTCAAAGAAAACTTACCTAGGAGTGGTTCATGACTGTGGGGAGCAACAGTGCTATGGTTTTGCCTTGTGGCTTCTAGCTCCCCTATTTCAGACAGATTTAGTGGAATCAACTCCTTATTTGACATCTGGAAAAAGAATAGTAAGTAGTAAGGTTCCTACTTGACTGAAGTACTTCTTCGCAGTTATTGGACAGGGGCCTCTAGCAGCATGGCCCCTGGTGGGCTGCATTGACTGAGTACTCTGTGCCTAAGCACCCCACGTGCATCATCCCATTTCACTTAAAAAATGTTGTGAGGGAGCTGTTTTATGGGTCAGGAATCTAAGGCCTAAAGAGGCTAATATTCATACCCAAGTGTTAGAGCCATAATTCTACCCCGTTTTCCTGACTCCAAAGCCCACATTCTTCATAACCACAACTGAATGTCTGTACTATAAGAAAAGTGTGAGATGGGAACGTTCTTGACCACAGTGCTCTGAGTCAGTTATTTTTTTAAAAAAAATGATGACAAAACCATATCCCATTAGATACCACAAAGGGAAATAGTGCTTTGGAGTGGAGAATGGATTAAACTAGAGGTTTTGACCAGAAAGTTATCATCCTGTTACAGAGTTACAGGCCAAACAATCTAATGTACAATGTAGTGTATCAAAAAGAAAGTCATCTATAATAATAAAAGGATAATATGCTAATTAGACCAGACGTCTTCTGGGTGTCATTCCGGATGTCCTTCCTGACCAAGCAGGGGCTGGAGGGAAGCCAGCC